AAAATATAGGGCATAAAAGTTCCTACTTTTTGTTATGTTTTTTTATTTTGTTTTTAACTGTTGCTATATGTTTTTTTCCATTCGGTGTACATGTTTAACAAAATCTATAAAGCTGTGTATTGAAAGCTTCGCTTTCTCTCGGTTTTTCAAAATATATATATCTTGCCCAAAAGAATTATAACGTTATTTCTCTTTATTTCTTTTTGGAAGAATGTGCAAATGAAAGAGGTCTAGATTGACTGAAAAATAAAAGTATTCAATGTAATTTCAGGGCGACAAATCTGACTTTTTTTGATAGTCTGTTCCTTCTTTTAATAAAGAATCAAGTTGAATCAATCGTATTTTGTAGTATACTAAAATTTGTGAAGAGAGAAATGTCGCTGAAGGAAAATGATTGGTTCTTTTGTATCGTAGGCTGCTTTCAGTTATGGTCGATACAAATAAAGAGATTCCTCATGTAGCTTCATTTGGGGCTATTTCAAGCGGTTCAAGTATGAAATGACGAATATGTGCTAAGAAATGCCAGTAGATGCCAATATCATACAATTTCCTCATCCAGAATATTTTGTTTGTTTTGCCGCTCTGGAATTGCATTGGATGTCTTTAAGCCCACTTACCCGCATCACTCGCCCCTGGTTTCAGACCCAGGCCTCCAAGCAGGCCGAAAATCCCCGCTAGCATGCTGCCCAGATCCTGGAACTCCCTCCACCGGGATGCCTTCCTGAGCGCCGGCGCTTCGGCGGCGGCTCCGCCTCCTGTCCCCGGGCGATCAACATCAGCGCACCGACCACCGCCACCAGTGTGGCTACTTGGAAGACAGTCCCCCTCATCGTTTCAGTTGCTGCTTGGACGAAAAGAAAAACAGTTCTTTTAAATACAAATCCTTTTGTAAAAAGGGAGTAAACTCAAAGTAGATGTACCAATTTGAAAATAGTATCAAGACGTAGAAAATAAACTCAGCTGACAAACGCAGGGAGGGATGAAAATGTGACACGTACTGCGTACCCCTTCTTTGCCGCTCAGTCCAAGTCTTTGCGATGCGGTCAGTTTTCTTTCTGCCCTGCCGATGTTTATGCGAATTGAGCCGATTACGTTAGGTCATGAAATGGTACAATTTCCTACAATTAGAAAATTGCCCCCTGTAGTTGTGTAATGGATGACATCCTCTGAAGTCCCCCAAACTAGTGCGCGCGGGCGAATAAAAACAATAAAATTCCGGCCAAAAATAAAAATGCTACTAAACCACAGGAATGCAAAGCTGGTATTGTGAATTTGCGGTAGTGCATAGCGACGTATACGACAAGCCGGCACAAGCTGGCTTTTGCGGAATTTATGATACATCACTGCACGTGTGTACTGAGTTTTGGAGTCCTAGAGCTTCGGCAGCCTGGATGCCATCTTTCAGAGTTATCGCCGGCTCCGTATTATCCCCGGGTCTAGAGCCAGGCCAGAGCCTATGAGGACGTGATTTTTTTAGAACAGACGAAAATCCATGCGCGCGTGGATGTCATCCATAAAATTAAATCGGTGTGGCCTAACTGGTGCCATCTGGCCCTCTTCTTAAAAAATGCAAACGCATGTGATAATGTCTTACATAAATGACACAACCATGGATAGGACAGGGACCTCTTATAGTTGTTGTCGTGCTTCAAACGTTTAATTCTATTCGGCACTTTGTAACAGACTTCTTCATTTACATTTGATGCTACTGATATAAAGATATCCAGATCTTTAAGTTCGTCAAGGGTTTTGATCGCGTTGACCCGAACAGCCTGTTCAACTTCAACGTTGATGAACGCACGAGAGGTCACTCGTACAAGATAGTCAAACCTCAAACCAAGAAGTCAACCAGAGCTAACTTCTTTAGTGTTAGGACAGTGAACTCTTGGAACAGTCTACCGGCCGAAGTTGTAGCTGCTGAAACTGTTAATATCTTTAAGTCAAAGATAGACAATTATTGGAAGGGAGTACAACATTGACTTTACCTAAGAAACTCTAACAAACTCTCACATTTTAACTCTTAACTTTAGAACTGAACTTTATATTTGTGTTGTTTAATGTTAAACTTAAGAAGCGGATTTTTATAGGCTTTATAGCCTCTTTATCCGACCATTATGTATGTATGTATAAACATTTAAAATGTAAGATAATTAACCCCCATGACTCATGATCACTAACTGCCCAATAGACTGGCCCAAAAACGGCTGACCATTACATAGCAATTAGCAATCTTTGCATAACTCTTTCTCAGTAAATGGCAAATTTGACGAGCATATGCATGTTTCAGCGAGTTTGTGGTTCATAGCATGCGGGTACTGCAATATTCGTAGCATGGGTGCCATACTGAAGGTCAACTAAGGCCACAGCAAGTAAATTTCATGGATGACATCCTCCGCAGACTCCAAATCTAATGCAATATGGTGAAAAAAGAAGACGGGCCAAAACAAAGATTCCTACATCTTTCAAAGACATCATAAAAAGACCATACTGGTTCTTTATGTTTATTGATAACACTTTTAAACGGAGGTCAAAAGAAAAAAAAAAGATGTCAAGAAAGGTAAGCAGAGCTATAGCCATCAAATATTCTAATGTAAAAATGTAGAATTTATCGTTAGTTAGGCCATGCTAATTTTATTATATGGATGACATCCTCTGGGAGCCCAAAAACTGATGCGAGTGTGCGAATAAAAAAAAGTTTTGCAAAGAAAAAGTTGCTTTCACTATGAAATCTACGTGGTCATGAATGTTGAACAAATGACACAGAGTATGGTATGACGAATAATCTACTCTTCAAATTCATTTCTTTATATTTTTGTCTTTCTCGTTTGATTTTGGAATTATATGACATTGGTATATTGTTTTCAAATATGTTTTTTTAACTCACGGTATATATTTGCTCATTTTGAAACTGCTTTGTGCGATTTAAAGTATGGTTGAAGACTGTTTTTTTAACGGCTGAAAATTATTGCGCGTGGATATCATCCATATAATGAAACGAACATGGCCTTATACATGTACCATCAGTTTTCAGTCAATTGTTTAACCTTCATTAACATGTTTTATTTACATTCATTGAATGTATTTTCACACGCTAGCATAACCATACCTAACTGTGGCAACGCAAATTGTATCATTGCCAAGTGGGACTAGCTTTGATAAATATTGGAAGACATTCATCAGTTCAATATGATACGATGCATTTAGTTGACTATATTTGTGGGTGGTATATGATTATGTATAAATATTAACGTACTACATTTTGTATTTGTACTTTTATTCAGGTTGTATTGCTTGCTTATCATGAAAGTTCATCTGTGTTGGTAGTAATCATAGTAAAACGTTGAACTTTTTTCCAACACACAGTCCTACATTGGCGAGACAGAACGCTCACTGAGGACCAGATTTCTTGAACGCAAACGCCCCAGCTCGCTGTCATCTGAGGTTTCTCAACACATCCACATCGAATCACCGGGCCATACAGTCTCTCTGGATAAAGTTAGAATACTGGACACTGAACAGGACTACTTTTTAAGAGGCATTAAGGAGGCTATATATATCAGAGCACTTCAGCCTTCACTGGTGATGGTGGACGATATAAACTCCCTGGCACTTTTGATCAATTGCTTACAGTCTCGTGTGAATAAGGTCACGTGTTTGTAAACGGTAACTCTCGCGAGATCACGTTGTGAGGTGATTAGTCATTAATTATCCTGATGAAGGCGACAGTGGTTCGCTGAAAATTTGATCTCTCTGTAAACTGTGTGTTGGAATAAAGTTCAACATTTTACTATGTATTGCTTGCTGTTTTATTGAAGGAGAGCACGGCCGTCATGTCAAAGGCGTTTACTCGTAGTTCTCTTGAGCTTGGCTTACATGTACATATATACCAGTACTAGATGTATTTGTATTATTATAATACTGAGACATAACATTAGCACCAACCAAGATGTACGCATGAAATACTACAAAAAAAAAGGAAAGAAGAACTCGGAGATTTATGATCTCTGGGACGTTTTCGCGGCATTTTCGGTAATATATTTGACCGGGGGAGACGATTGTATGGTGCAATTTAAATAGTATTTTACACACAGTCAATCATGATTACGTCACTAAAAATCCTTCCAACCTCTTTGCAGCCGTCTATGCTAAATAAACATATCAACAAACCCACAGACAAAATAACCCAAAACAATACTTCCGTACCCAGAGATAATTTTAATTTAAAAATGCTATGTGATCAAACATGCAATTTCGGGGCGACAAACTGAAAATATTCTGAGTAAGGCAATCTGTATGATATTGACACATACTGTCCCACATTAGCACATTTTAATCGGTATTCCATACTTCACAGGCGTTTAAAACTGCAGAAACAAGCCCGAAGCTGAGTCCTTTGTTTTCTGGGTGGTACCCTAAAAATCAATCCAGGTCCTTCCAGGAACCGTTTTCCGTCAGAATTTTTGGCATGTTTGCTCCATGAATGTCGATATACATTAGTACAGTGTTGTTTCAACTTACTAATGTAGATAAGTGACTAGAATATTGACTTTGAAAAATCTGGTTTCCAAGCCCTAAAAACTGGATGCCTTTAGGCCACAGCAAGTAATTTTTATGGATGACATCAGCGCGTGCATTGATTTTCGCCTGATTTTGAAGAAAAAAATTTTTGTTGCCTTCTGACAGTGGTCAACATGCCGAAAATGTGCAAAGATGTCTGCTGCCCTGCCGCAAGGACCAAGGTGCATAGCAGATAACTATGAAGAGAGGAGACAATAACTCTGATTTAATGTTTTGTTTCTTAAACTTTGATGCAGTGATATGTGATGCTGGCTGTGTATATGTGATGTTCCCACTGAATCAAAACCATTTGTACAATGCTTGAGTCAAAATGTTTAAATGTAGGAACTTTGCTTTTTTCGGCCCGCCTTGTTTTTTTGCCCGCTCGCATTAGATTTAGAGTCTGCGGAGGATGCCATCCCTAAAATTAACTTGATGCGGCCTTAACAGCTAAACTTGAAGTCCCCGGTGCTGCCATAGGCAGTAGTATAGCCGACATAGTTGACAGGAAGAGGATGTGGATCGGTCCACTGCATGAAGGGGGTGCGTCCGCCCTCTTTGCCGACTGAGACGGTGCCATCCCCCGACCAAGCTATCCAGAAGCCGCGAAACTCGGTACCAGAGAGAATCCCTACAACACAAACAAGAAATGACTTTTTAAAAAAGCTGACTGGGGGGTAGGAAAAAGCCCGTTGGGTGGCGTGAGTGTGATGACAATGTGTGACTCAAATAATTGGTCACCTTAGTGACTTGAAATTGACTAATGTTAACAAGACTGCACCATGACTGGACTAATATCGTGATCTTTCTACAGGAAAAGAGAAATTTTGTACAGCAATATTACTAATTTTTAGCGATTTCGTGCGGTAAAGAATTGCATAACTTCTTTTTTTCAATTGGCCAGTCTTTCTCTCCTGACATCTGCTTGGTCTTGTAGTAATATATAATGAAAGTTCCTTGGAAGCATGGAAGGAACAAACGACGAAAAGTGATACTCAAGTTTGTGTATAAAGTTTCGGTCACAACCCGCCGTGCGTGCTTTTTGTCCGTACGTTTTTGGGAGGCTACGTCAGCTACATTTTTTTCTGAAAACGTGGGAAAGGAGTGGCGTCGACGCACGTCACTCGCACGGTTGCGCAAGGTGTAAGAGTGGGGTCTGCACGCCACGTCTGGCCGTGAGCGGTTGCATGCATCGTACGTTGCGCAAGTGGTAAGTGAGCTGTACGTGCTTACAACGTACGATCTCTGTGCGATTGCAACTTTACCGTAAGGAGGTCGTACTCACACGTGCTTCTTCCGTACGGCACGTACGGGGCACGCGCGTCGCCCGTATTCGAAAATTTTTTACATGCACTTAAAGTTCTACGGCGTGTCTGCGTGCTCCAAAATCCGTAGGATTCCGTACGGAGGCGGTACTCACCACGCACGGATGCCCTACGTTTGCCCACGTTTTTGCACGTAGACAGCACGCAGAAGCACGTATGGCGGGTTGTGACCGAGGCTTAACTTGCTGTAACGCCCTTCTCCAAAAGTAGAGTAATAACTAGATCAACAATTTTCGGCTTGTTTTCGTGCCATTTTTTGACTAAAATGTAACTCAATAGTTGCTCCCGACCATTAGCTAACCTTGGTTGGAATGGCGGTTGAAGGCGGTTTTGAATATATTACGGTGGTTTTAAAAGAGTGACACACTATTGTTTGGGAGTGCATCTTCATAAAAGCGTTCTTTACCTGGTGTGGGAACTTCTACCAGTCTGGCGCCTACGTCTCGGCGGATGAATGACCTGGTGTTGCCGTCACCTCCGATGACGATCTCGTACATGTAGTCCAGATCCCGGTCCTCCGCTGACAGACCGATGCGAACATCATTACTGGCCCTGGCTTCAAAAGTCAACGGTGAGGCGGCGATACCCTGCAGATCCCACCTGTACCGGTAGGTGGTGTCGGTGGATCTCTCTTGGCAGGTGTCAGGGTTGAAAAATATGTCCTCCATTAAATGTGTAATCTTTTCTGCAATAACAAGAACGCCATGATCATGATCACACACGTAATGCGAAGTCGAATGAAACTACATTGAAAATGTTGAAATGAGGATTTTCTTTGTGCTTTCACAAGAAATAGTTTTATTTGTAAATATTGTAGTGCAAAAGCTGTGAAAGACGAAATACATTTTATCTCAAACTGTTCGTTACATGACAACGCTCGAGATGAGTTGACTATTCAAACATCTACAATTTATCCCAATTTCCCAAAACCTACAAATTTTAGCAAAGGGGGAACATTACGTCTTCCATGGTTTGCAAAAGAGAAGTCAAACCCTTCAGACATAGTTTTAGACATAGCAAAAGTTTTAGACAATTTAGATTTCATTATGTACATTTTGAAGTTACTTTATACTCTGTTTCAGAGTTCTTTTATGTTTGTAACTTGCAATTAGCCTTCGGGCATGGATTTGCAATCAACTTCTCGGTACTGTTTAGAAATATTTTATGATTTTCTTGACCTACGAGTCCACCCCATTTCCTGTGTCAAATCTTTTAGCTTCCTGCCTGTCAATCTTTCCGACCCACGTGCTGTCTACCTACTTTTTAAGTTCATCCCATTTCCCGCACCTGACCTATTGTTCGGTCATTTCGGACATGCCACCGATCTTGTGCCCTTGGGAAAGGCACTTTACACGACTTTCCTCATTTCGCTCAGGTGTAAATGGGTATTGTACTGTCCCTGTGTTGGTGGCGGCATTGATATAAGTTGAAAAAACTTGAGTGTGCCGTCACCACGTCTTGTGATTACATGTTTCGGAATATTTAAACAAACAATAAACAAACAATAAATAAATAAATAAATAAAAACAATAAACAAACAAATAAACAAACAATAAACAAACAATAAACAAACAATAAACAGATAACTCACCATTGTTCACACGATCCTTGCTTGTTGAGGCCGGCAGACTGGCAACCATAGACACCAGACTGAGTGTAATCATCAACGAAAATCCAAAAGACATGATGTTTCTCTTCGGTAGAATCTGTAAGGAATAACACATCTGATAATACTAGAGTCCCACGATCTCATACCTTCGCCAAATGATGTTGATCTTTATGACTGACAAAGGTGATTCCACCTGATTATGCAAATAGGATCCTCATTTGCATTAATTATTTCAGTTGATCATATTCTCCATCAAAAGACAACCTTATCTTAACAAAGAAAGCCATTCAATCATTTCCTCATAAATTATGCAAATGAGGTCCTTATCTGAATAAGTTATGTTTAATGATGTTCACCTTCACTTACCTTTCAAATGCCCCAAGAATGAAATTCCAGGCAGTTAGCATTATGGAATTATAACATTTTCTCATTAATTATGCAAATTAAGTGTTAATTTACATAATCAATATCTGCCTGTTTTTCTCTCGTTCTCAATTACATATGTCACAAGCTTGAATAGTCCTATAATGTAATGCAGCTGATTTATAGAATTTCTCCATTAATTATGCAAATTACATCCAGATTTGCATAATTGTCACATAATTATGTCAACCGTCAGTTAAGCTACCAACATACCAAAAATCATGACGATCCGTCAACCAGTTCTTGAGTTATCCTCTTTTTAATATTTTCAAACAGATAGCCCTGCAGTTTCTGTGTTACTTATTCCCCAGCTAAAGAGCCCATCCAAATTTCGTCACCCCAGCATGTCTAGATCATGAGATACCAAAACCGGAAGTTCAGCTGCAGTACCATAACAAGCCGCTAGGGGGTCCAAAATCTCATCATTTCCAGGTCTCATCAAGACCTACCCACCTACCAAATATCAAGATAATCCATCTAAGCTTTCTCAAGTTTTGCTGTTGACAGACACACAGACACACGGCCAGGAAAACATAACCTTCGTCAATTCTTGGCGAAGGTAATAATTCGCAGCGGTTGAATGATTCCATTCTGATGATAATGCAGCCTTTGACATGTCCCTCGCAAATCGTTTAAAGGTACGTGTACGTTTTCTCTCCGACAAAGCCTTGGTAACACCATGGAGGTAGCCATGGTAACACTGAGTATACAATGATAAAGGAATCGACTTTCATTGATTCCCAAAGCATTTTTAACATGCATATTCACAAAATCATGCAATCCTCTTTTGAAACCAAAACGAGCGATGAAGTGTGCAAAGAAAAGAAGGATTCATTCACATGTACAAGCCGACAGCAAAGATAATACCGACTTTTCAATACTTGATTCTTTGCCATTTTATCTTTCAGCTAGCAACATAAACGGTGACTCATAGATGTACATTGTCCATACAGGTACTTTCATTAGAATCATTCACTCACGTTGTCGTTGAATCAATCACTTTCGCTTAAAGTGATGTAAAGTGCCTTTGATAAGGGCACAACGTCGGGATATGTAGGTGTATTTGAACCTATAGGACCCATGGATTCCGGGCCCGGGGCGAATGCCCTACCATTACGCCACACACACCGTGATTTTCTGTAACGCCTCTGTCTGAAGCAAAGTATCGCCCGGCCCTTGCCTGGTCCGCATGTGATGCGATGACGATCCAACTTTACGTTGTTTTGCCAATTGGATCTTCTACTGGCCGCAGCTTGTCAGTGGTAGGTACTGCATGCACATAAAGACTACGCGTTAACGACTGTGCATGATGTACATGTGAGTAGAGCTAGAGCTGAGCTAGAGCTGCAATGTAATATTACCTGATGTGATTCCACTGTGTTGGCTAAAGTTTGTCAGTGGTACATGGTAGGTACTGCACTGAACATTGTGTGCTAAATACTCTGCATGGTAGAGTTGTACAGATTACTAAATTGGCGGACATAGCAACTAATAAGTATCTAATACCAGCTCGGAAAAGAACAAGAAAGAGACATACATGTACTTTTAAATACCAGGGTTATCAACCAAGGATTGAAGTGGGCACAAATCAGTTCTTTTCCCTAGAAGTAGAAGGCTATCATAGAGTGGAACTCGCTACCACCACATACAGTAGGGACATGTGGCTTGTATCCAAAGATCTCCCATACCAAATTTCAGGTCATTTGGTTTTAATAATAGGGCACAGGAGCAGAAAATGTAAATTTTTGGTCCTGAAAATAGCCAAAAAAACTATTTTGTACAATGTATAAAGGGGTATTTGTCAAAAGCATGAATGATATCCTTTGGATGTGTCCAAGGTACTCGTATTCCCTTACCAAATTTCATGTCATTTGGATTTAATATGGGGCACAGGAGCCAAAAATGTATTTTTTTGGTCCGAAAATATCCCAAAAGCCCTATTTTCCACAATTTTACAGTTAGGTATGTCAAAAGCTTGAATGAGGTTTTGTAGACATATGTCCAAGGTATCCCCATACCAAATTTCAGGTCATTTTGCTTTATTACCAGGGCTCCACAAAAAAAAAATAAATAAATAAAACAATTTTAAAAATTAAAAAAAACAACAACACCTGGGGGTATTTGGCTACTCTACCTTCATGCCAAATGTCATGTCATTTGGCCCAAAAATGAAGAAATTAAATCCATTTAACGAAATGGCAGGAGAAGGAGAAGAAGGAGAAGGAGAAACACAAGAGAAAGAAATATGTGCTTCTCACTATCATTTGTTATGGCTTCACCACAAAGTGATGCTTCACCACAAACTTGTGTTGGAGCCATAACAAATGAGACGGAAGGTTGCTATGCAAGCTCTTATCAGTAAGTCAGGTTGCTATCAGAAGTCGTGATCGTGTGTGTGTGTAAAAGGTTAATTCCTTTTCGTGGGACATGTTTCGTGGTTACAATGTTGTCATATTGCTGTCAGGCGACAAAGACTGTGACGAATAACAACTAATGAGGCTGAGCTAGTATATTTAAACCGAAGTGGTGCGTGGATGGCAACAGGTATTCAAATTCGTTTAAATGCATCCATTCACTGTGCAAGTGCAAAGAAAAGAAGAATTCACTGGTAGACGGCAACTTATACCGACTAATACCAATTTTTCAATACTCTATTCTTGTTAACTAATTGCCATTTCATCTTTCAGTAAAATAAACTGTGACTCTTTAATGTGTTTTGTCCATGCAGTAAGTTTCATTAGAATCTTTCACTCGCTCTGACGAGCTCGCCTGAAATATTTCAGAGCTGACAGAGCATAACATTGTTGTTATGGTTTAACTCTCAACAGGTGTAAGCATGTATCCGGTATGACAATTGCAAAGGAAGGAGGAAGAGGAAAAATAACAGAAAAACAAACAGCAAATAACTTCCTCCAAGGTTTCTGTGGAACTCGGGAAGTAAAGACAACCTGTCTGACTTCAAAACAAAGAAACAGAAGAGTGTGGATCAGTTACTACCAGAGGGCCATTGCTCTGCGAAGAGAAGATGGCGCTAATCGCTACTCTCTGTACTGTATTTCTGCTGGCTGAGCTGTCGTCTAGCTCCCAGGTCCAACTCCATCGTGACCTTTCAGTTTGGGGTGAAAATGTGACGGAAATACCGGAGGATGCGCCAGTCGGTGGCACGGTGGTTCGGCTGAGAGATTCTCTTGTTGCCGCCAGCCTGGTTAGTTCTGCTGACGACGACAATGGGACGTGTTGGTCAGTCAACATCACCACAGGAGACGATTGGGGGCGGTTTGGGGTTCGCGCTGAGGACTGGGCGCTGGTCGTAGCGGCTCCGCTGGACTACAACCTGTACTCGCGGTACAACCTGACGGTGGAGCTGACAAACACCTGGAACGAGAACGTCTTGTACGTGACCCTCATCATCGTAGTCATAGACGTGCCTGAATACCCGCCATTCTATAACAAACGGTGTGAAACGCCAGTCCTTCTGGATAAAGAAAAGGGAGAGAATTATACTTTGATCAACAGTGACAGAATTTATATTACTGCTAACGGAGATTTTTTTGCGAAGTACAGAGATAATCTTCAGTACTCTTATGTGAAGAGATACCCCGCTAACTTTGTCTTGAAAAGCGACTGTTCCTTACGATCTGTTATCAGCAAAAAGACATTTAAAGGAGACGGGGGTGTCTTCACCTCGGTGATTCAAGAAAAAGGACGGTTACAAGGTAGACTCGAAGCTGAATGTCGCGATCGGGAGTGGAAGACTAAGGGGAAGATTACTATATTGAACCTTTCTCTGGATGACGACTTGCCTCAGTGGGTAGTAAACGGCCAGTTCCAATGGGTGACACATCCCCGCTATGTCATCGCCATTGAGTTAAACGAGATGTGGTCCACATCACCATACTGGTTTCGCTGTGGAGCTAATATCACGTTGGGGGATTCAACAATTCTATTTGAGTCGACATTTCAGTACAACTTTTACAGGGGTGTCCTGGTGGATTGTACGGTATGTATTGTGACAGGGACTGTGTTTGCTAAGAACGGTGCCCGCTGTCATGGCTTAAACGGTGCCTGTGAGTGCC